GTCGAAATAGAAGATCCGGATAAAACTGTCACCGTTCCACATAGTACAGGTGTGGCTGTTCTGAGTGGTGACAAATGGACTTCGGTAAGAAGAAAAAGAAATAAGAAGAAAAAGGCTGTAGGCAAAACGCAGCTGGTCAGCAAGACATTGGAAGGGATGTTATCAGAAGAAAAATCCTCACCGCGTGAAAAGACAGATCTCTTTGAGAGATCAGTCATTTTTCATAAGATAAGAGAATCATCAGATACTGAACCAAAGGCAAGATTTCAACATGATCTCAATCATATTAAGACATCATTAAGTAAACTACTCCCAGATACAGTTTTAAGAGTTAGTATTTGTAAGCTTTATAGAATAGGAAAAAAGGTGGATTCCGAAATTCTTCAGAAAAACCGCCTCCTAAAGGTTACATTCAACACGGTGGAAGAAAGGAACCTGATTCTAAGTAATTCACGTAAACTGATTGGATCCGGAATATATGTCCGTGAGGACCTCAGCCTAGCTGATCGTATTAAGAGAAGAGCTGCAGAAGCGGAAATAAACGAGCGTCGCCGAAACGGTGAAAGAAACCTCGTTCTTAAGGGTTTTCAGATTGTAAAATTTCGGAGAAAAACGATCCCCAAGCCACTCTGGGTGGCAAGGGAAAGCTCTCCACAGACTTAAAAGTGTGCTACACAAATGCTCGCAGCCTACTAAATAAAATGGTGGAGCTCAAGTCAGTGGTGGATGAAGAAAAACCGAACGTTATTGCTGTCTCGGAAACTTGGTTCACATCACAAGTATTAGATAGTGAAATCCAGTTGACTGGTTTAATAACCAGTAGGGCTGATAGATTAAACCGAAGGGGAGGCGGGGTTATTGTGTACACGAAAAGTACCCTAACCATAAGATTAGCTGAGACAGTAGCACATGTTTCAGGGACGTGTGAACTGGTGAGATGTAAGTTGAAATGCCGAAGGCAAGATATTGAAGTAGTTGTAGTTTATCGCAGTCCAGAATGTGTAGTAGATGATTTTATCCTAAGTAAACTTAAGTCCTGGTGTAACAACGGTAAAAGTCTTGTAGTAGGCGACTTTAATGCACCACATATAAACTGGGTTAACTTAGAAGTAGGGTCATCCATATCGTCGTTCGACTCCAAACTGTTAGAAACCTCGATTGGACTAGCATTATTCCAACACATTAGAGATCCCACAAGATACGACTTAAGAAACTCTTCCTCTCTTTTAGATTTAGTCTTCACACACGGTGAGGACGTTGGTCAAACGGCTTTTCTCCCACCACTTGGGAGAAGTGACCATGCAGTCATCTTATTCAAATTCATGGCTGAAATTGTTTCTCAAACAATTGCGCCGGCCCGTTCTAACATATGGAAGGCAGATATGCAGGCAATTAACTCCGCAGCATTGGCTGAGAACTGGGAAATTGACTCAAAGGCATCAGTACAAGAGGCATGGACTCTATTCAGACAGTTATACAATCGGGTAACTCAACCATATATACCCTGGACTGTCCCAAAGAAAAAGAAGCACGGACATCCCTGGTTAGGGCGGGATATTCGACGCTTACTAAGACAAAAGAAGAAATGCTGAGATGTTGCCATCCGCCTTGGCACAGCAGGTACGATGGAACACTACAGATCGATAAGAAACGTGTGTATAACTAAAATTCGGGAAGCGCAAAGAAAATATGAAATGCAGCTGGCACAATCTGCGCTCAAGCAGCCCAAGAGGATATTCTCGTACATAAACTACAGAACAAGGATTCATCATTGGATTCCCAACCTAATTAAAGTAGGAAGTGAATCTGAAATGATAGAGGAAGATCAGGAAAAAGCTGAGGTTATGGCTGACTACTTTGGGGCAGTTTTCACTCAGGAACCTCCTCTAGAGAAAGAACCAGACCCCATTACAGAGTCAACAAACCAGCTGCTCACCGTGGACTTCGACCAAAACGATGTGCTTAAGGATCTTAGCACCCTAAACATGGAGAAGTCAACAGGACCAGATGAACTACACCCTAAAATCTTGAGACATATTGCCCAATATATCGCAGCCACACTGACTGTGATATTCAATATGTCACTTGACCAAGGTGTGTTACCTATGGACTGGAAGGACGCAATCGTCACTCCCGTACATAAAACAGGTCTACGACAAGTTCCATCAAATTACAGACCCGTAAGCCTCACCAGTGTTGTAATTAAAATACTGGAAAGAATAATCAAACGGACCATAACGGCATTTATGGAAACCAATAACTTGCTGAACATGGCACAACATGGTTTTAGAAAGGGTCTATCCTGTACAACGAACCTCCTTATAGCTAGGGAGCTCTGGATTAATGCGCTAGACAACGGAAACTCAGTGGATGTTGTCTACATAGACTTCAGTAAGGCTTTTGACAAGGTGCCAACTAATAGACTGCTATTGAAGTTGGCAAACCTTGGTATTGCCGGACCTCATTTAAAATGGATTAAAGATTTCCTAGTAGGTCGTATGCAAAAAGTAAGAATAAATTCCAAGTGCTCCATCTGGAGACCAGTACTTAGTGGAGTACCCCAAGGTTCCGTCTTAGGTCCTTTACTTTTTATAATGTACGTTAATGATCTTACAAGTATAGTACAGTCTCCAATGTTATTATACGCTGACGATGTAAAAATCTGGCGAGTAATAACTGGAGACAAAGACGCATTTACTCTTCAGGCGGACTTAAATAATTTGATAAACTTGTCCAAAGAGTGGCTGATGCCCATCAACTCGGAAAAGTGTGTCTACATGCACTTGGGGGATTCAAAGTTCAATACGTACAACATAGGGGATGTGTCATTACCCGTAGTCCGGTCTCATAAGGATCTAGGGGTGACAGTGAGTAATGATCTTAAGACGACGGCCCATTGCCGGGAGGTCGCAGTTAAGGGGTTTCGAACCCTCTGGGCTTTAAAAAGGACATTCACCAAGTTTAATACTACCATGTTCACCACATTATACACATCCTTAGTGAGAACTAAGCTAGAGAACTGCGCTCAGGCTGCAAGCTCCTGTTTAAAAGCTGACTCAGACATACTAGAAGAAGTACAGAGGGAAGCTACCCGTGCAATTCCGGAACTCCAGGGTTTATCATATAAAGAGAGGCTTGAAAAACTGAACCTCTTTACTCTGTCCTATCGCAGACTAAGGGGAGATCTAATATTGATGTAGAGAATACTGAGAAATGATTTCGGACCTAACTTATTCTCTCTCTTTCTTCCCACTAGATCGGGACACCTCAGAGGACATAGCAAGTGAGTAGAAAAGACAAGAACGAACAAAATACCGGTGGCATACAGGTTTTCACACCGAGTCATCAACACTTGGAACCTGCTGCCTGAAGCAGTGGTGTCCGCACCTTCAATTGACTCTTTCAAGAGAAGACTGGACACTCACAGAAGCATACTAGAAAAGGAATAACATAGGCCGTAGGCCTTCTGTCCTTACTACACAAATCTGAATCTGAATCAAACGAACAAAATTGATTCCTACCAAAATGTTGTTTCAAGGTCACTGAGGTTAGCTTACACTCTTCGATGTTGTAAAACAACTCTTTTAGTATTTTTGATAGCACATTTATCGGACTTGAAATGGAGTGCTGATGAGCAATGATTCTTCTTATAGCTATCTAAGAGGTGACATGGTGCTTTCGGTTGTCTGGTTAGTATTTTATATTTGATTGTATCCTTTGTTGTACAAGATTCTTTCATAATTACTTAGACTTGACTTACCAGTTACAGTAAGATCAATGTCTCAGCCTTTTGTGTTCAACGTCTATTACTTATGGAGTTTTAGAGTCATTTAATCTACAGATAAATTACGTGTTTGTTTTTTCTCACTTTAAGATATATTTTGTATTGTTCTCTCTATGAGATCATCTAACAATTTAAATGGTGTAAACAAAATATCCTTGCAGTAGACACAAATTCTTTTCTCCGGCCAATGGTGGAATGCAATGTGACACCTGCAACAAGTTGTATCACAACGTGTGCAACGGACTCACATCGACTACGTATAAGAGGTGTTGCATGCTTCACCGCTTTGGCTGAACAGAGCAAGCCGCTCCGCAAAGCCACTTATGCTCCTTCAGGCCACTGAAATGCCAAACGTAGCCAAGGTGTTGCTCTTAACTAATCAACCAGCAGCAAGTGAACAACTGTCAGATTTCAAGGATGCATGGAGCGATATCCTGAGTACAGCTTTACACGTGAATGAAACCATCAATGTGGCCCCGCCCTAACATAGTGGATAATGAATTCACAGATGTAGGCAAAGTTTTAACAAAAATGAAGAAACACGCTAAGATGAAACAAATTATGGGAAGCACTAAATTACATGAATGAACGGTTTCCACTCTGGATTCTCATATCAACGCATAACGGAGTAGGGAGGAGAAAAGCCTGTGTTATACAGATGATTCGATCAATAAATAAAATGGCTTACGGTAATATCTTGTGAAATTAGCGAAGGAGAGTGAGACCTACACGTTTGACGGCAATTCGAGCTTCAGTGATGTGAGTAATAAAGTAAACAAAACTTCACAGTTTGTCACGACGGATTTCACTGAGAAGTCAGTCACTTCTCATATGTTAGAGAGCATTCGGAGAAGAAACAAACGACTAAATTTGAATGGACAATCTACTCCAACATACATTATCAGGAGTTATCATTCATAAGCTTTACAGAATAGGACAAAATAAGGACTCTGAGAGAACGGAAATAATCCGCCATCGGAATTTCTCCTCTCTTCTGCTGAAGCGAGGAACATAATACTGGAAGACTCATCCTTACTGACCGGATCTGAAAAACGTCTGTGTGGATCTCACACTGGCTGATCTCACTAAGAGATGGTCGACAGGGCCAAAAATTATTGAGCCCCTCTGGAACAGTGAAAACGACCCTAGAAGAAAGTGTTTTACATGGTAAACGTTTGCAGCAAATCGGGTGCAAAACCACTTTCAGTGGTATGGGATGCATTTCACGGTATTAAAGGTATGTTATGCGAATGGTTGCAGACTACTAGATAAAGTAGCAGCGCGGATAAGCGTGGTCAACTCATGAAATCCCGATGTCATTGTCATCCCAGATATATGGTTAACGCCAGGAGTGTACGATGACAGAATTCGAGTGCTTGGTTAATAAGTTCGTGTGCCTGACAGACTGAACACAGCTGGTGTTGAAGTTATCCTGTTTACAGAAGGCACCTTAATCAACTGAGCTGTCACGACAGTAGCACACAACTCAGAAATATGTGAGCTAGTGCGCTGCCGACCGAATTTAATTATTTATAGTATGACCAGTCCAGAATGTGAAGTGAACAAATCACTCTTATATGAAATTGAATCCTGGACAAACGGCTCAAGTCTCCCATACTAGGTGAATTCAGTGCATACTCTATAAAATGCGGAAATTTGGAAGTAGGGTTATGTAGAACATCGTTTGATTACAAATTGTTTGGAACCACAATTACCTCAGTTTTATTTCAGCACATTAGATTCCACCAGATATGAACTACGAAAATCCTCATTTGTATTCAGTTTGGTTTTCACACACGGTGATGATGTCTGTGGAATAATGCCCTCCCTACACTTATGGAAAAGTGATTATGCGGTCATTTTATTCAAATTCATGCGTGAAATAGTCTATCAAGTTGATGCATCAACCTCGTCCTAATTTAGGGAACACAGAATTGAAGGCATTCGATTCTTCATCCTCCACTGAAAACTGTAAAATTGACTCTGGTGTATCAGTAGAGGATGCATGAACACGTTACCGCGAGTTGTACGAATAAGCAACACAACCATTTGTACTCAAAACATATGAAGCACGACCGTCTGTGGACAGATCAGGATGTTCGACGTTTACAAAGACTAATGGAGAAACGTTGGAACGTATGTGTCTGTCTTGGCAGAGCAGGTCGACACGGGTCGATACGAAACGAGTGTGCAAGTACAATTCGGACGGCTTTGAGAAAACACAAGAGCAGTTGGCCTATTCTCTTATCAAGTAGTTGAAGAGACTCCTCTTGTACACAAATCACAGAACAGGGACATGGTATAAGATTCTCGATCTAAATGTTGAAGTGAGTGTACCTCATATAATGGAAGGAGATCAGGACAAACCACAGGCAATTGCTAACTATTTTGAGACAGAAAATCAGTTAGAAGTTCCATAATTGAACATTCAATCGACTGTAACCATTCTGTGGATCCACAGTTCGATTTTAGGATTGTATATACAATTCGTCCAAATCTACCTACATTTCTCCGCATCCAATGCCATCTGTGAGCTCAAGCCAGAACTATGCGTACGAAAGAAGTACATTAATCGTTGTCGTCACCTTAGCCTTGATTATTGTTATTATTACTGCATTTTCATCTCTACCTATGTCTCCTATTCTCATTATTTTATTCATAAATACTCATCATATCAATTTATTTATTTATTACACTTCTGTGGCCTTTAATGATATTATTTGTTGCAACAAAAACATTTCAATCATCTTACTACATTCACGTCATAATTCGTTACTAACTTAACAAGTCTATTGTTATTATTCGTATCACACAATCCAGTATCATAATCCTTCTGTTATATCATCTTGGTTATATCTTGTTCACATTTCCGCACGGAACTAGTTCTTTGAGAAAAACATTTTCATATATATACGATTGTAAAGCTTGATAATAAATTGGTTGAAAATAGATCCGTTCGCTGAACTTCGTGTTTTTAATGTTTAAATGCGAATTATCTGTCAATTGAAGGAAAGTAAAGACCATATGACAATGAAATAACTCAATGGTTTCTTACGTTACACTGTCAAACATGCGTTAGTGAAATGTGAGTTCTATTTCTCGAAAGCTGCATCGAAATTATTGATTATCCCAAACGTCTCTGGAAGACACTATGGTGTAACCACATTCATTTCAATGCAAAAACACTCAAACTTCATGCACTCAACTGTATCGATTCTATTAAATCTCGACTAGTTGAACTAGAACGTAACATATCTCTGAGGAGCCACGTATTGTTTGAACTGTAGTTGGACGAATGTAAACAATTTGTGGATTATGTTACTGATATTACTGAAAATGTCACAAAAAGCTAAAGCAAACACTTGGAAACGTTGCAACACAGATGTAATTAGGCAGTTTCCAAAGTATCCTGCAAAGCATGTATTTAATTATTCTTCAAATAAACTCTCGTCAGTTGAAATTCAGGACTTATCATTCGGTCCCTAAATCTGTAACAGCATCTCCAAAAGCAGTAGACTTGGTATGCAAATGCGATTCAAAAATCTATCAAATCAAGCTCATGAACTTTTACTTAACCATTTGTTTATTAGTAAATCTTTTCACACTCATTAGATTCTGAGTACCGTGGCAGGGCTTTATAGACTGACTGATTCATTTAATTCTTGCTTGCTTACCTACGCCTGTTACGCCCAGTGGGGCATGGGCCGCCGACCAGTATTCTGCAACTCACTTATTCCTGGTCCATCCTTTCTAGTTCTATCTAGTTGTTGCTCATTCTCCACAAATCTGTCTCCATTTCTCGAAGTAACGTCTTCTCTGCTCTGCCCCTTCTTCTACTTTGGCCTTGAGGACTTGCTTTGTGACGCCGCTGAGTACTTTTCTCAATGTGTGTCCTGTCCACTTCCCGCGCGTCTTCCTGATTTCTTCCTCCGCTGAAATCTGATTTTTTCTCTCACACAGTAAGTTGTTGCTGGTAGTGTTTGGCCAACGGATCGGAAGTATTTTGTGTAAACCACTGACAACAAACACCTGTATCTTGTGGATGATAGTTTTCGCAGTTCTCCAAGTTTCCGTCCCGTACAGTAAAACAGTCTTGACATTTGTATTGTCATAACTGTCTCAACAACGATCTTTAGTTCTTTAGTCTTTTGAACTAATCCATTGTGCTATCCCCCTGATTCAATGATGTTCATTTTCTACCTTTCAGAAGTATAACAAATTTACGCAGTTTAAGAATGAAGTCATAATAATGTAGTATGGTGTCGAGTCGCGGTTGAATATGATCACTACCACGGGAAGACTACGTGCCAGTCACTGGGTTAGATCCCCCGTAGTCCAAATATCAGAAGGCAGTTAATGGCTATAGTCGAGATGTATTTGTTGGCGATCTTGTGGTATCGAAATAATACTGAGATAATGCCAAAATATACAAGCGGAATTACTGAGAAAAACCGAATTCGTGCAAGGTCACAGACAACGAAAGAATGTGTGTTTTTAGTAAACTTAAACAAACAAGTACATAAAAACAATCACTGGTACAATTGGTTATAATAATAAGTGTTTCCATTATACCACTCGCATCCTCTTCATAAAAGTAGGTCACTACAATAATTTGCTTGTTCCGCAATTTTCTATGACATAACACCATACATGGATAGATTAATCATTTGAACTTTCCCATTAACCTCATTGATAATCTATTGAGTAAATGACATAGAATATAAATTGCACTCATTCTCATAACCGCTTTTTTCATAGAAAAGCAGTAAAGTAATTGATATCATATGTTATATAATTGATCAAGTTTATGCATATATGTTTGTAATTATTTCAATCTGGGTTACGTAATTGACCTATCAAAGTACTTATAATATGAAATATATACATATTGATCATTCAGTAAACATTACGTAATAATGGAAGTCACATTGATCACATTGATACTAATCTGGAATATTTAAATAAAACATTCTGTAAACAAATTAATTATTACGACTAAATAAACTAGTACATAGTAAGCAGAATTATTTCAACAAGTTGGTTTTAGTATGATTTCAATGATGTGAATCGTTTTCTGTGAAATAATAAGTAAATTTTAATGGTTGAATTCATGAGTTATTTATAGCTAAACCATCAAGGAAAACCTGGAAGCATTGGATGGCCGTTTCATTTTAGTGTGAGACTCTTCAGTAGTGAATGTCCATGATTCCGCATCTCGAGATCCTCAAAACCCATCTCTGATTAGAATTAGTAAATTATTATCTAATCTGACCTAACTAAATCCCTCTTATAGTTACCAGGTTGAAATATAAGCATTATATGTCATTTGTAAATGTCATCTTTCCATATACTTAGTCCTGGAGAGAAGATTTGTCATCTCTTTTAAAAGAAATAGAAGTTGATATTGTAAGTATTCAATTGATTCGTCTAACGTGAATCAATTTGGATACGCATGAAATATGAATCATAAGCATAGAATGTATTGTCAGATAACTTAACATGTTTCTCATGCAAAACCTCTTTTTTCAGAATATTGATTTGATCAATAAACATTCAGTGATAAAAATATCAATGAGTAAAATAACCAACGACAAGTCAGTAACCGAATATGGTTGTACCAAAAACGCAGACAAACTTCATCAGTATATATGCGATCATTCACTACGTCTGTCTGAAGCACAAAAGTGGTTATTACAAGTACTCATCATGACTTTTGCCCTCCATAAGTGTATTGTAGGAGACCAGTAAACATCCACTATCATTTATGCTTATCTCCAGCATAGAAATGCAACTTCTAGCAAATTTGTGTTATGCGATAAATGCTAGAAGGACACTCGATGTTGGTAAGTACGAGGTTTGTGTGGATTTGTTTACAAGCATAAATATATATCCATTCTATGTTCCTCATTGCTTGTCGAACAAGTTCTCAGCTCTCATGGAGTAAGCGAAATGTACTAGCTCGTATTTAACTCATCATTTAAATTGACTGCATAGGTAGATATGAGTAGAAACTTTATAAACAGAATGTGGCTATTATGTCTAACTACGTTTCATGGTTTATGGCAACATTATGAGTCAGCGTTCAAACCATCCGTCTGTTATTTGAAGAACATTGTTCATTATCTCTACCATTTGAAGACGATTAAGGAGATTGGATGCTCTGTTCCATCACTCGTCTTTCTCCAGTAAGTATTACATTTCAGAGTGGTTGTGGAATTCGTGAATGCACAAATCATGTATGGAGAGACAAATATGGAAAGAAGAGGAGTTTGAAGATGACAGACATAGAGTCACCCATTACTGACTGGTTATCAGTGTCTATTCGGATAAAGTTGAATGACTGAGCGAATTACCTTGAAGGAACTATGTTGATACCATATATCAACAACACATTCGTAGTCGACTTGCATATTGGTCTGGGAATGGAAACTGGAACACTGATCTCATTGCATTTTAGGCCCATCAGCTAGATGCATTTGCATGGTGTAATTAATATTCGCATGGAAATTCGAAGCTATTGCCTTTCATTTCGAGCACCAACACATGATCTACTGATGTATTGAGTTCAAATAGTCAGTAGATTGTTCAACGTTATATCTGGAATTTCTGACGTTCACTACTTTTTGGGTTGCTTTGTTCAGTAATAATTGGTTTCAGATATATTTGTTAAGCTGACGACTGGTTTGTCAAGCTACAGTGTGATCTAAACCAGTCTGTAAGATGTTACTGTGGTAATTCTACTGTTTTTTACCAACCACTGTACATCAGTTAGACGACCAGTCATTATCAACAGATATGTTTCCATTTATTTTAAAATGAATTTAGGAACTTATACTGGATATAGTGCATTGTCTATCGCGGAAGTATTGCCATCAGATGGACGTATAGTAGCCGTGGATAAAACGGATGAATATTTGAAAGACTATTGTTTGCCAGCATGGAAGAAGGCAGGTGTAGAATCGAAAATTGACTTCCGACTCGGTCCAGCGCTTCAAACACTACGTAAGTTTGACAATGTGGTGTGGTATATTGTTACCAAGAAATACAAAACACAGATGAACATCCAGTGTTTTAACATAGAATATCCTTGAAGATAAGCATTTTACCATCGGATTACTGATGTGTTCTGTAGTGTCAGCAATGCTATCTGGTTGGTTTTGGAAAAAGATAATATATGTGGAATTCATGCTACATTTCTGTTTAAGATAGTTGAAAATAATGAAATGTTGGTTAATGTGGACGGAATGTATAAGTAGTCTTCTGAATAAGAAGTTTTAGTGGAGTGGTCGGAAATACACAAATATCGAATGACTGAACTGCAAATAACTTTCATTGATATCGGTTTCGATTTTCTTTGGTTTGAATATTGTCTGAGTTAACCACTTGTACAGACTATTGAAAAATGCTGACCAGTTTATTGTATCTGTATGTCCATTAGTTCTAAGTGCATTATTGATATGTTTGATGAAGTTCCCTCCTATAATGTACATGATGTGTGCGAGAAGCTATAATGTTTGCACTAGACAACATTATCAGGTCTTGTTTAGATTGCATGACACTTTTTGAAATCATTTCAAATTATATGAGAATTTCCGTTTAAATTTGAAGTAATAGATCCACAGTATTTGTGCACCGAGATAATGTGTGACATTAAAGAGGAGGGATATATTGGTAAGGTCTCTGTGATTGAGTCCAGTGTTTTGCTCGAAAAACTGTATGCAAAACAAATCATTCAATCATATTAATGACATTTGAAGGAAGTATCTGCTATAGTGTGTATCAGAAACGTGTAACGTGTGTGACGAAATGTGTGTTATGGAAACAGATTGTAAGTATTATGTGTAAGTGGATCGGAGGTATGAAAAAAGTATTTCATTTTGATTGAAATCATCACTGAAAAACTGGAAGCGGTATGAGATTCCTCAAAAGTGCGTGTTCATGATCATCCATGAAGGACTCGAACCCAGCACTCTCAGTCTCCTGCACGAATTATTAAACTCTAGACTACTGTGCCGGCATATATATATTTATTCGGTTAGTATTCGATAACAGTTGGATGTATGTAAGTACGTTCAGTTTGATTACAGGTTTGTCGTAAACTATTTATTGATTTGGTAACTGAACCTTCTAAATTTTAATTGAACTGTTGTGCCAACAGAAAATTTGATTGATAATGGAGAGAGTGGAACATTCGATTTTGCCCTGATCGATGCTGATAAAGAAAACTATAGTAATTATTATGAACTATGTTTGAAACTAGTTCGACCTCGTGGAATAATCGCCATTGATAATGTAAGTTTGTTTTACTTACGAGTATATTTTCTATGTATCTCAATACATTTGAAGTCAACTTTCATGACGAATTGATCTTTTAATGACTATTAATGAACCTTCTGTTTGGAAATATCTCGCCCTTAAAAATGCTTCTACATTTCATAAATTCTCGAGGGAATATTCCACATATTCGATGAAGTGTGAAGTATAATGTTAATAATAATAAATGACTGTAGTTGTACACCTTCTGCTGAATGATAGCCTTATATTTCCGACTAAATGGCTTAAAATAAGATTATCCAATATATGTATGGATAATTTATCTTCGATCCACTGATTGGTAGTTATTGCGTAGAGGGAATTATAAGTTGGTCTGTTCTAATAATCCTAAGCAAATATTACTGAGTGGTGCCTCCAAATGCTTTTTGTTAGTTGAATGGTCACAGTTTTATTGTTGATAATAATCTGTCATAGAATATTGATTATCTTATAGATTCTAACCACCGTGTCTAAACCATTCTACATGACGCTTATCAACAATCTACTTCTTGATGAACTGACGAGTTGTCATCCTTTGGTCGCACCCAGATTTCACTCATCCTTATTCACCATCTCTCTGTTTCAGTCCCCAACATTTATAAAGTGAGAAGTGAAAATTTCGTTGAATCAATCTTCTTCTTCCTCTGATTTTAGTTGCATTTATTGTAAATTTTTGTTTTGACAGCTGAATTACATAATACAGAAGATCCACTATGCTTATCAGCAGCTCTTTTCAATCCCTTCGTTCATATTTTAGATATCAGCTTTCGGGGTGATTTTGACTTCCGGTTTAAAACTCCATACTGCAATCGAAACTCTTCAGAGCTTGAGACACAAATTCCAGATTTTATGTTTTCGGTTGTCTATCCGTAAAATCTGTATGTCCGGTTTGATAAAGCTTGGAAGAACAAGGGTTATGAACGTTGGCCCGATAAATTGGATGAACCCAATCACCAAATCAAAGGAACCTTCTATGGTCCGATGAGGGTTATTTGAAATGTGACAGAAAATAAAATGTCTCGTATATGAATGAGATACATGTTTACGATGCTATCAAAGCGCACTTGATAATTGTTTTCCATCCCTTTTTGACCATTATTTTTTCTCCAGGTTCTACGGAGGGAGCGTGTGCTCGACGAGAATGATAACTGTCCTGAAACTGTTTGTGTAAGAGAAATGAATGCATTGATAGCTAGAGATAACTCTGTTCGAATTTCTCTCTTAAGAACTGGAGATGGATTGACAATTGTTGTGAAGAATTGATTCATGTTATGACTGTTTTCAGAATGTTTACATCCATACAGACATAAATACATTTGATTGATTAACCGAATTGCTTTGATTGCTATCGCACATAAATAAATATTTCCCATTACTAAGCTGTCATTTTCAATCATCACTGCATATGTATGTTGTTGTAATAAAACATTTCTCTGAAGGGTTTCTGTATATTACATACCGTTTCAATCATTTTGTAATTGGCACTAAACTTGTCTGAGGAAATTCGTAGTATTTTGAGATTCTCTTTATAGTCTGAGGAAATATGAGCGGATGTAATGACTAACTAGAGGTCAGTTGGAACTTAGGGCATTTTAATCGCACTTTTCCCACAGTAAATCTCCAAAAATTTCTAATATGACTTTCCTGAATTTGACGAAATTCTCCTCAAATTTGGATAATTGGGATGATACGATGAAAACAAATTAAGCTTGCTGTTTTCAAAATGGTCGATATTCAGCATAATCCTTAAACTTTGTATATAATTCGTCCTGATAACCGTCATTGGATAATCCCCTCAACGGTGTATTAATCAGAAGGTGAATACGAAGCAAACATGAAAGAGTAATGCCGAAAACAGCTAGAGAGCAAGCGAGTGAGCGAGTTAATGAACAGGATCAAAATGTACATATATATACATAGTTAAATGAATGAATCATTGAATCATTTAAGCGACTAATAGTAAGGCTAGCAGTATGAACATATGCGTAGTCAGTAAGCAATGCTTAAGTATACATATTCATATAAGTGCAACAATGATAAAGGTGCAATCATATAAGATAAGTTGTTATTGTACGAATGACTCTATCCGTTAAATAAGTTAACAAAATGGCTTAACCAAATGAAATGTAAACAAAGTGAATTGCATGTGAACAAACTACTATACATTATAGCTTGATCATTTTTTTTTAATTTTCAAAATATGTATATCAGTCCCACCCCCTTTTTTTTACACATCAAATTACAATCCACTTATCAACCATAAATCAATAATCCAATCATAATCAATCAATAATAAACCGGGATATCAGTTCATTCATTTTAGTTTTTAAAACAAAAGAACATATTTGTATCAGTCTATTTAAACACAATTTAATAATATTGCGGTAATATAAAAATGAGAATTTAGTAGTTGAGAAAATAGAAATTGATTAAGAAAATGAATCAACAAGAAACAACTACAAAAATCAGTATTGATAAAGAATATAGAAAGTATGATTATTCAAAAAACTTTGACAAGACATTGACAGAAGAAGAAGAAGATCCAACGAATTGTTCGTCAAAGTTACTTGAGCATAAATCTCAATTAGAGTGTCGTCTACTCACTCGTGAAGATCTGATTAATTTAGACAAAATTGAACCTCGTTGGAGATATATTCGAATAGGATTATTAATTGGATTTGGGATTATATTTTTTGGTCTTTTAGCAGCATGTATTGTTTACATAATTGTTGGAGAAAAATGTCCATCTGTGCCCAAATTACCATTTTGGAAATCAACAGTTGGTTACTGGTTAGATGTGTTTGCATTTAAAGACTCTTCTGGCGATTTAGTCGGAGATCTAAACGGTAATGAGTATTAGTGTAAAACCTCTATCACTCAAATGATTCTATCCTTATAGGACTCACATCTGAAGTAGATTACATCAAAACTGTAGTCGGTGCAGGATATGTGATATTAGGTCCCATTACTAAAGGATTTTACACTAATTCATACAATATGCTCGGATTAGTGGAAGATTATGAACAGTTAGATGAGGCAGTTGGCACAATGGCTGATTTTCGTATTCTTTTAAAACAATTTCATAAAAAGGATATAAAAGTTATCTTGACATTCGATTTCAATGCCATATCCATCAGTCATAAATGGATCATACAGAACAAAGTCAAACTGGCGTTGTTTGTTGATGACTTTAAGAACAAGGTAAAACTACTTTCATTGTTCTATAGTCTCTTTACACTTTATCTACATAAAGAAGTCACGATATGGAAATCGATTGGACGTGAATATTAGTCATCAAAAATACTATTCAGTTTTTGAATATCCAAGCATAGATCTAGATTTAACTTCTGCCAAAACTCAGAAAGCAATATTTGTATGTTTCAATGAATCCACTTATTAAACTGTATTATTACCGATAGGGTGTGATCCATTTTTGGATGAAAGAAGGAATAGATGGAATTCTCCTGGATAATGCTGCATTTTTTGTTGAAGAAAAAGAAGAAGGAACGCAAAGCAACGTAAGTCTATAAATGACAATTCAATGATAATTGTTTGTCCCTTCATAAATTATTCTCTTTTCTTTTACTCTATCTGTATATTTAGCTTGGTTCAACATGGTTGGAAAACTGTCCTAATTCTCAATTATATAGAAATGGAAGTGTGAAATTTGTTGAAAGTGTAAGAGAAGAAATGAACAAGTGGATTAAGGAAAGTGGTAAAGAAAAGTAAGTTCGTTATTGATTATTAATGTTGATGAATGTTTTGTCGTTTACATCAAAGTGATAATCACAATTGTATCAGAGACGAATGTACACCTTTTATCTGCTTTAATGTAAATCAGTGATACTTTCCATTATGTATAATGGTGTGTCATATCGGTAGTGTTATAGTACCAGGTTGTAGATCACCAACGTAGATTATCAATGTCGAATGATTAGAGACCTACTCGAGTTAAATGAGAATGATGTGACGAACTAGCTAAATTCTAAGTCACATCTTGCGGTTAACATCTAACGTGGATTACTTCTTCGACGTATAAAAGTATTATGGCTGCTTTGAAGACCGTATAACACAAATGATGTTATTAAGGAGATATATTAGTAAGAATGAATAAAGGGAAGATAGCGAGACCATTACCACCACATGCGCCGGTCCATGGCATATGATCAACTGACGAGCGTTGTTTTTCCTTGATCTTGACAGCGATCAACGATCTGTTCAATATTCAGCGGCCCAACTGCCGGATGATGTAGCTATGAATCAGTGACGTTTCACTGGCACTACAAAGTGATCAATAGAAACTTATCTAATTGGAAGTGAATGAAAGTACACTTCTTAAACATGCAACAAATAGTTAAATACTTTAAGGGGTTCATTGGATGCATAGCTTACTAAATAAGATTACTGAATAACAGAATTATTAAACTACTAGTGTTTTCTTGTATTTACATTGTATATTGAGTCATTCAATCGTTTATTATAAAATTTGTTACAGAGTTAGTTGTTGCTCAAACCATTGACATCATATTTAAATTTACCGAATTTCATACAGTTTATGTAAATGATCTCAGAAACACTTGTTTTATTCTTTGTACAGATTATTGGCTGTGAACTCTGGTGATACAGGTTGTGGTGTGGGCGATAATCCAGATCCAATGTTGATGTTCCGAGATGTGGCTGATTTAATAATCAGTCGCGAATTTGTATGGGGGAGAGGTGAAAAAGAACGTGAATTAACATTTAACCAAACAGCTCTACAAAAATATCTCACATATACAGATTCCGACAAAGAGATACTTGGTTTGACCACTAGCACTGTTCATATTCCGCCATATGGAGATACGCTTCAGCTTGCGACAACATTGTTATTACCAGGTATAGGAACATAAATAATAAAAAGACTTTTTAATATTATCCATACAACTTTACACGTTGCCACAATCTTGTGACTTTAAAATCTGAATTTAGTAAATAACTTCTCCGAATACATAATCATCAATGATATACTAAACGGAAATACCAGCTGACAGCATTTAAGTTTGATAAGAGATTATGTCTAGTGTTGTCATGGCTAATCCACAGTGAAATGAGGTATAGAACTGTTAATTGTAAACTCAACAATCAATTTACTAATAATAGTTTATCGAGTAAGTTTACTAACATGATCTATCTTATATCACAGTGAGTGATTGTGAAAATATACGTTACAACTATCTGCAATTCTAAATATAAAATAACAGACCAGCTTCCTTTGCGGATCTCTTGATACAGACATGACTTAAGTCATTCTAGTAGGTTCTTTCTGTAAAACAACTACTGAGGGAATATATGTGGTTTGTCTTCGTTTGTCCCACTTCTAGTATCTTAGGGAGCATGATGAAATTTTGCATAAGGTATCTTGTCATTGAGCACTTGTTGGTTATGGACGATATTTGACGTATGTGAGGGCTGAGATACTGCCCGGCTGCCTAGACCGAAGCAAGCGGTTTTATTAGGGGACCACACCACTATCCTTTGGCCTGACGGTTTAGGCCACAAGGCAGTGGAGCAACGTCACAATATGCAGTCCAATGGCAGCCGGTGACAAACAATTGGTTCATACGCCACTTGGTTCCTTAGGATATTGGAGCCAATGGGTACCGTTAGTTTGAAATCAGGGTTTTCCAAGTCCCCTAGGTGGATCCTCCATAAATCGTTGGACATTCGCTTTTCATCCTCTCGATTTCGTAAAGAACACCACCGACGCGAGAAGGCGGTGATTAGTACTTCCCTGGCAGGGGTTGTATACACGTGTCCACTTGAGAGCGAACTGTCCTCACTCTCGGCCGTATCAGGGCATTTGGAGGCATGGAGGATATTAAACTGCGAAATTTGTTCACTCAAATGAATTATTATATAATATATTTCTCACCACTATTTTATCTTATCTATAGGACTACCAGTAATTTATTATGGAACTGAGATTGATGTAAACAGAGTCACTTTACATTATCTTCCTCAAAGTATTTATCCGAAAGGAAAGACTTATAATGATGAACCTTTTGATAAATATTCGTCTGTATTATCTCATATGCCAATGCCATGGGATTTTAATGGGAAGAGGTTTTCGGCGACAATAAATGATTCGAGATTTCGTGACTATCTCATTGATTATAATGACAAAAAAGTTGTTGAAGTAAGTAATATAGTAACTTCCATGTATTCACTCATCAAATGCTTGTTTTTTTGTGTAGCCGAAATGTTATTTTATTAAAATTATGTATTTCCAACAAAAACAACTGACAGCTTTTGCTGAATATCTACTGTGAGACCAAACATGCTTACTTACTCCTCGTGGAGGAGCATTAGCCTCCAACCACCACTCTCCATCCAACCCTGTCCTGGGCAGTCTTTTCCAGTTCTTTCTGGTTGTTATTAGTCCTTTTCATATCTGCTTCTATTTCCCAACGTAATGTGTTCTTTGGCGTTCCTCTTTTCCGTTTCAATTCAGGATTAGTTGTTAGTACTTGCCTCGTGATGCAGTTTGAGGATTTCAATAATGTATGTCCTATCCACTTCCTAAGTCTTTTCCTAATTTTTTCTTCAGCTGAAAGCTGGTTTGTTCTCTCCCACAGTAGGCTGTTGCTCATTGTATTCAGTAATTTGATGTTGCGTAGACAACTATTTATGAATACTTGTACCTTCTTGATGATGGTTGTGTTAGATCTCCAAACTTCAGCTATATGAGTGCAAATTGATGATAAATAATTCAAAACCAAAGAAAACTAGAAAGAATAATTGTTTTTAATAAATTCATCATCAGACTCTGCACTTATATGCGCGTTTCGTCCGATCTGGGGCTCGTCAGCTGGATGTGTCTGCATCCCATCCCAACATCAACTCTGAGATGCAGATAGATCCAGCTAACGAGTCCCAAATTGGACGAAACTCACGTCCTGGATTCCACTGCTAGCCACTATCCATCTTTGCTTAAAAAGCTCGTGATTTAAGGCTATATCGAGGCGATTCGCACAGGATGCACATACGTCAACAAGAGACTGGTCAGTTGCAGTCTTAGATAACAACACGAAGATACGAGTAAAACAACACCAATTGAATTAAGGTTTTTGAGTTACTTCTAATATTTACAAAGTATGCAGTTGAGCCTAGCCTGAATTAATTAATGAAGATGTGTAGTTAGCAATCATATAAACTTAAGTCACGAATAAAATTCATTACCCGGTTGGCTCAGTTTTCAGTTGATTGGAATATATCATTATTTACATAAACGCCGTCTATGATGCTTAAGCAGTTGTCATTATCGCGTGAAAAATCATATCTGTTGATTGATATGAGTTAGTTGTCTAGTTCTTTCACTGTACAGTAAGTATTGTCAATCATTGTTAGTATAACTATCTTCTTTATCCTTAAAGAGTGAACTTGCTGAAGGAAATGACAAATCCGTTCTTCGTCTTGTTCAAAAATTAGTAGCTTTACGTCAGAATCCTAGTATAAAATGGGGAACAATGGAGCAAATAAATATTGATCAAGTAAGTGATTTCCCAGCTTATACACTCGATAAATTGTTTTTCTAAAGTAATTTCTTAACTCAACTATTAACTATGAAGGCTTCTTCAACACTACGGCATGCCTAAGAAAATAGTCAAAATAATACGGATTTCCTATGATGGATTGAACTGCAAAATTGTGTATGAAGAACAGTTGACAGACTCATTCGAGGCAAAGACCGGTGTCAGATGAGGTTGCTTACTCTCACCCTTTCTCTTCCTTCTGGTAATCGACTGGATTATGAAGACGGGATACAGTATACATCTAGGATGCAGATGGACGATCTAGACGACACAGAGGATCTGGCTCTTCTATCGCAAACGCAACAACAAATTCAGGAGAAGCCGACCAGTGTAGCAGCAGTCTCAACATCAGTAGGTCTCAATATACACAAAGGGAAAAGCAAGGTTCACTGACATAACACATCATACACCAATGGGGTCGCACTTGACGGAGAAGATTTGGAAGATGTAAAAACCTCAACATATTTGGGTAGCATCATTAATGAACATGGTGGATCTGATGCAGATGTGAAGGCGCGGATCGGAAAAGCAAGAGCAGCATATTTACAACTGAAGAACATCTGGAACTCATAACAGTTATCAATCAAAACCAAGGTCATGATTTTCAATACAAATGTCAAGAGAGTTCTACTGTATGGGGCGGAAACCTGGAGTACTACGAAAGCCATCATCTAGAAGGTAGAAGTGTTTACTAACAGTTGTCTATGCAAAATACTTTGGATCTGTTTGTAAGACACTATTAGCAACAACGTACCGTGGGAGAGAACAAACCAGATCCTAGCTGAGTCATAAGGCAAGCCCTCACTTGGAATCCTCAAGTGCAAAAGAGATGAGGAAGAAGAATGAACAACAATTGGATAGAACTAGAAAAGAAGGCCCAGGAAATAGTGGGTTGGAGAATACTAGTCGGCTGCCTATGTTCCATCGGGAGACAATCCGCACAGGATGTATATATGCCAATAAGAGACTGTTCAATTTCAGTCCTAAATAACAATGGTAAGATACAAGTAAAACAACATCAAGTGATATTTACTGGTAAGTTTACTTTTATCAATAAAATACAAATTAAATAAGTATTATTAATGTACTTTGAAGTATTTCTTTCTTAACCCCTTTTTCACTTTGAAGTTTCCACTGAATATGAAACATCATCCTTTTTCATGACATTAACGATTCTCTTTAAACACATATCCCAACATATAATTACTTATTCATGTATTATTTACATATGAATGCATAAATTGAAATGACCTAGATTCAACTGATAACTTTTAATATATTTGGGCAGTAAACATGTAATGATCTCCAATCACGGATGTAGTGAACAGATCTACTGAAATGAATTTCATAATTATTCTAGATAAAGCTTCTCGATATTACGTGCGCTATACAAGTTTCATTTTCACTTAAAGTAGTAATTACTGTTTTCCAGATTGATGAATAGCGGTCGGCTCAACATCTTCCTATTCAAAGTAATTAGTTGGATGCCGGCTCAGTGGTCTAGTTGGTTAAACGCTTGGTGCAAGACTGATAGGTCCTGGGTTCGAATCTCGCGGGGTGCGGGATCGTGGATGCGCACGACTGAGGAGTCCCATACTAGGACGAAACGGCCATCCAGTGCTTCCAGGTTTTCCATGGTGGTCTAGCTTCCATTGACTCATGATTTCAATCTGTGTAATTAGTGCCTTTGATAAATTTCGATAGTGTAATTGAGAAGACGAAAATGAACAGAACTATGTGATAATATATATAGTAGTACAATACATTTCGAAATGAAGTGTAAGAGATAGTAAAGAAAATAATATGAAAACAGTTTGAAACCTCAGAACTCTGGATAATGAACTATTATTACCGGGGTAGGTTAAGGATGAGAACAGATAGTTTTTGACTGCACAAAGGGGGTTTGAATTTTCGTATGGCTAAGGCTTCAATAAACCTTAGTATACACTCTTTTACACATTTTCACAACATCACAAAAGCCTAATTAAAATCGATCTTATGACCTGTTTCAATTATGTGTTTGGCAATAGACGACGATGGATGTTTATCCTCTACCCTTATTGGGTCATTTAATTTTATTTGTTTCTGCAACCATTTAGGTACATGTTAACACACCCTAATATTGAGATCATGATTACTGTCTTCTTCTAACACTATCGGAACCTTCCTAATCTTTCAACTGGTCCATTGATCAACATCTCAATTAATTGACCATCGATTATTATATTCGTCTTCCACACATTTGTTTATAGATTTTACCTTAAATTTCATTACTTATTTCAGTGTTGTTGTCTGTATTTCTACCAAACAGAAATCATCTCATCAATATACTTAATATGCATTCATTTCATGTAACTCTAAGTCTACCAAATGCAATGATATTATCTAATTATCCTTTTCCATTAATCTTCACTCACCTGAGGCTTGCAGCTGGATGGTGAACATACGAATTATTTAAAATTAACTGACCATTGAATAGTAATCGTTGTCATGTGTGCCTTGTCCTGATTAGTACTAGTTGGATTTTATTGATCAACTTGGGATGTGATTCATAATCTAAGCTACTTGACATCGTGTGCACTATGCTGTGATATCAGCTGATAGCTTTCGGGGGTTGGTACACCTTACTTGCAAGTGTAAAATTGAACGAGACCTAAGTTTAGGGTTTACCTATGGACTACATTTAAAAACGACCACTTGGCACAGGGATTTGCGCTAACTATTGTTTGAACTGAACGATTCTTATTATTGTGTATTTTACTGTGTAGTTTCTGAAATCATGATGAATAACCAGTAAAACTCATTTGTGAGTAAATGATTTTAAAAGTTGTTTTCATTTTAGTTATGATATGTTTCTTAGCATTTCCGTTGGTCAATTGTTATTGCTGTGAAGTGTTTCACATGTTTTCTAGTTCTTGAAATGGGAGAGTTTTATGTAGTTATGTCATTGTTATCAAAGTTAACAGATTACTTTAAAGAGGTATTTTCGAATACATTTTGCATAATATGTCTTCATCTTGTTGACATGTGTTAATTTCTTTACAGGAATCTGTAAGTCATGCTGAAGCATTTGCACGAAAGGCGAAAGGTTTTCCAACATTCATTGTGGTATTAGTAAAGTATTTCAAGGAGGATTATTTTTTAGATTTAACTTCTGTTTGTTCATCAATTACACCAAGGGTAATTTATCCTTCACATCCACAATTATCAGTTGACAATGCATTATCAACTTCAAAAATATTCATCCCCAAACTGATTTATTCTAGTTACATTTTAGTATTTGAATGTAATTAATCATATCTCCATATAATAGATTTCTCTCACATCTGATCTGAAATTATTGTTTGCACTTTCATTCATTTGCTTCATGTTTGGTTTTCTGCACTTAGCACGTAAACAGAATTTATCAGTATGGGGACTTGTGGAGGTTATAGTATTTTCGCTGTTGAAATCACAAGTCAATTTAAGTTAAACCACCATTGAAAACCTGGAAGTACTGGTGTTTAGCTTCAAGATGTAACTCCTAGTGTTCTAGTAAGGAACTTTGACCAGTGAAATGGAATCGGTGTCTAGTGCGACACAATTATTCACCTCAGGCAGTGGATACACATACGGGGAGACGAACTAGACTATTCATCCATACTTTTTGAAATCACTATCGGGTGGTTGGAAAATGTAAAGCGTAATTTTGCTTCAGTTAATGTATTTCTCAAGGCTTTTGCATACGCTGAATTACTACTTCACTGGCTACATCACCTTTAAACTTTAACTTCAGGAATACAGGCTTTTTCGAATCGAGCGGCTAATAGACTGATTAAGAATGAAGGTTCATTTCGGCTTGTTTAATTTTTCACTCAGACTAATTTCTCGATAATAAGATTATTAAACCGACAAATACTTTTACTTAAATACACCTCGAAAATGCATTAAAATTAGATTAGGTAGGTCAGGTTTACTCAGACTTCTCGTATAGTGAATAAAGAAAAATGAGTAAGGTCAATCATTATTTTTATTACTCACTATTATAGAAAGGCATTCGTATTTAGACATCATGTATTATAAGATGGTGGAGGAGATTTGTAGCTCAAGTGGATGGTTTTGATGGAGTTTTGTTCTCGGAGCTGAATGGTTTGGTTGTGGAGCTTTCGAACACTTCACATCTATCTGAAGTGAAGAATACTGTGATACATATATATAAAACAGTATTCTTCGTGCCAGCCTCACATCAACTCAGACTCGTTAAAGATTTACTTTCATTCGAAATTTAAGTGCATTATTCCTAATTCCATTTATCACCTTTGTACTTATTCCCGTAGGTGTAATTATACACACGTTACGTTTGCTACTAGTCGGATAGCTTGAACTGCTTACTTGAAGTCTTTCATCTTATTTAATACGTTGTTTGGGAACTACGGAATAGAAGGGTCAGCTTGCACACAACCAGATGATTTGGACTTCTCAGATGAGCTAGCTCTTCTATTCCATACACATTAACAAACGCAGATGAACACTACTAGTGTAGCATCAGGCTCTGCGACAGTAGGCCTCAACATACACAAGGGAAAAACCAAGGTCTTCAAATACAAAAAAGTGAACATCAACTAAACCAATCACACTAGATGGAGAAACTCTGGGAAAGGTTTAATCCTCTACGCATCTGCAAAACACCATCGATAAACCAGTTATATCTGATGCAGACGTAAATGCAAGGATTGGAAAGACAGGGACATCATTCTTACAGTTCAAGAACATGTGGAACTGAAAACAACTATTAACCAATACCAAAGTCACAATCTTCAATACAAACGTCAAGACAGTCCTACTGTACGGAGCTGAAACTTCCAGAACTACTACAACCATCACCAAAAAGGTACAAGTATTTTAAAACAATTGCCTACGTAAGGTACTCAATATCCATTGGACGGATACCATCAGCAACAGAGTTCTGTGGGAGAGAACGAATCAACTTCCAGTCGAAGGGGAAACTAGGAAAAGATGTTGGGAGTGGATAAGATACACAATGAGGAAATCATCACACTGTATCACGAGCCAAGCCCCAACATCGAGTTCTTAATGGAAACGGAAAAGAGAAAGACCGAAGTACACACTGCGTGAGGATTTGGAAGCAGACATAAAAAGGATCAACATCAACTAGAAAAAACTGAAAAGGATCGCTCAGAACAGAATTAGGTGGAGAATGCTGGTGGTTGGCCCATGACCATCCATGAGGGGTAACAGACGTATGTAAGCCAGCAATACACTCTTGGAATGTGTCAAAGTAATGGCGATCATGCTCATTAGTCGACGAAGCTTCAATAAGCTCCTTTCTAGTAATTTGTTGATCTTCTTGCACTCTGGATCGGTATTTACGATTTATCAAATTCAGAAACGTCGCCCCTTTAGTGTGTTTAGCTTAGGTTAAAATGTGACTATCTATACTCAGTGGTTACGATAAATTAGGACTGCGGAATCAGTTATGCATGCTGAGTAACTGTGCAAATTGATGGTTGTTAGTAATAAACAAATTCTGTTCTGTCATATGTCAATTATGATAATTATCATAGGTATAATGAGAAATATTTCAGTTTCATTGAGAATTTGTTATTCTGGTAAAGGTTACTTTCAGTCATATGAAGCAAAAGTCTATTCCCACAGTGAAAAATATGCTTACCGTATGCATTATAAAACCAACTACTGAGTAGAAGAACCAAGAGTGAGAGGTAAGCTGTATTGGTTAAACGAAATCGAGAAATATCTGTACACTTATCTATATACATAAAAATGTCCCTTAGAAACTTGAGCAACATATTTAACCAATTGAATGTCTCGTTTGTAAACGAATGACGATTAGCCTGTATTCACCTATGACAAATGTTTGATTGCCTCAATGTATCAGGATTCCAAATTAGATTCCTCTCGTTTCATACTTGTCATAATACGCGATTTCAGTTTTCGATATCTATTGATGTATTCCGTTTTTTCAATCCATTTTCACCCAGCTAGGTTGTTTGGATACTGAGTTATGATAATGTGCATACTCTACGATAATTTACTGTTCAATTCCATATATAGCTATTTTAATAATTTAAGCTGGTATGTTTATTCTATCCATAATTTGTTGAATGAATAACATAGAATGTAAACTGCACTTTTCTTGCAAATTTCATTGTTTTTATAGGAAAAAAACACTGGTATAAGCTGTCAGTGTTTACTGTTTATTTTTTATTTACACATAAACTGATTCAATAGAAGGTGCATGGACCATATTAGTACAATTAACCTAATCGAATGATAGCATTTATGCACTTCATCACATAAACTCTACGTCACAACCTGATAACAAGCATAATTTGCTAATTCCGGTTAAGTATAACAAACTGCAATAAAAATGATTCGTAACTTTCGTTTACACAAATGATTTACAATGATATATTACGGATAACATGATCCCGTCTCAAACATTTGTTTAAGGCCTAATGAATTTCAGTTTCAGTTCTAGTTTGGAAAGGACAGAAAGCTTGGTAGCCTGTGTTAGTCCTAGCAGATGTAAAAACCTTTACATATCTGAACAGCATCATTAATGAACAGGGTGGATTTGATGCAGATGTGAAGGCGCGGATCGGCAAAGCAAGAGAAGCATATTTATAATTGAGGAAAATCTGGAACTCAAAACAACTGTCAACCAACACCAAGGTCGGGATTTTCAATACAAATGTCAAGAGAGTTCCACTGTATGGGGCCGAAACCTGAAGAACTTTGAAAGCCATCATCTAGAAGATAGAAGTGTTTATTAAGAGTTGTCTATGCAAAATACTTTAGATCCGTTGGCCGGACACTATTGGCAACAACGTACTGTGGGAGCGAACAAACCAGATCCCAGCGGAGGAAGAAATCTGGAAAAAGCGCTGGAAGTGGATAGGACACACATTGAGGAGAGCACCCAACTGCGTCACAAGAGAAGCCCCCACATAGAATCCCCAAGGTCAAAGGAAAAGAGGAAGACCAAAGAACACATTACGCCGGGAAATGGAAATAGACATGAGAAAAATGAACAAGAATTGGATGGAATTAGAAAAGAAGGCCCAGGACAGAGTGGGTTGGAGAATGCTTGTCGGCGGCCTATGCTCCATTAGGAGTAACGGGCGTAAGTAAGTAAGTAAAGTAAGTTAGTCCTGGCAATGATGGTCCAGAGGTGATCCAACTTTTTTTTAAGTCAGTCGATTAATAGAGCCTTAACCACGTGCCGAGGTAATGAATTCCACCCGTTGATGACTCGATTGGAAATTCGATAGTCAACTGACAAGTAATTTGTTCTGGGCTTGTGAACGTTTGTGGATTGTCCTCGTAAATTCTCTGTTTTGAATGATAAGAAAAATGAGAGCATATTAGATACACATTTTTCACTGCGTAACTTGAAAACTGTAATCACATCAAGCATCATACGTGAGCTTCGCCATTCAGGGAATCAGCTTAATTGCTGTTCTCTAAATCTTTTCCAAAAGCTCACTGTATTTTTTACTCAGGAACTAGTCTCTTGTATGCAGTGTTCAAATTTAGGACGCATAAATTATCTATACAAATTCAAAAAGTTATTGGCGTCGGCTTGACTCAAGGCACCACCTATTGACCATAATGTTGTAAAACCTTTGGTGACTATTGCACGGCAGTGCGCAGTATTCTTCAAGTTTTGGCTAACGACGACCCCTAAGACATTGTTTGTCTGGACAACAAGTAGCTCAGTGTTACTTATCATGTAACAGGTAACTTTTGATTTTCAGGCGTGTATCAGCTTTCACGAGCCAACAATAAGTTAGTGAGACATGAATAACCTATTCTAAAACCATGCTGCTTTTGTGAAAGGATCTGATTTCTATTGACGATCACTGATGATCACACTCAGTGTATGCTTTCAGCCCAGGGCAGAAGATTGATTTACCGAACATAAAAATGTCTCAAGGATACAAAGCAAATATATAAATGCTAAACATGTGACATTAATATTAGTTAAGAGAACGGTTCAAAATCTCTAGACTGGGCTGTAATTCTATAAGCTGATGTTAACGGTAAACGACATCGTTACTTTCAACCGGTATTCCTCTTGTTCTACTCCTGTAACGATAGGCACAAACCTGGATTCGAGGTAAGGAACACAACAAAAGATGGATGGACAAGCGCTTTATATACGAATTAATAAATATCACTGATAAATTGCTGAATAGTTAAATTCGCATTGTTCAGTCAAAAATTCACATGTGAAAACTTGCAGAAATCGATGGGAGTGGTAGTGACACCGT